CTGGAAAAGGCCTTATTTATACCCGAGTAAACCCTGGCAAAATGGGCTGCTGGCTCCAAAATAAAATGCTGGACCCAACGTTCTGGACTGCTCATTACTTGCTTTTATCAATAAGAAAGTGATGATCCACAGCAAATTAAGGGGGGACTTAAAGTTGAATTAAATTCCGGGACTTCCGGCTTGGCTGAAGATGGCGTAGGTCGCATCGAGCACAGCTCCTGCAGAGATTTGTTATTAATCAATATTTCAGGCACATTAAGTTGATTTCTTCTTTTTCTTTTTTTTCTTTTCCTATTTCAACACTTGAGCAAACGTGTTCGAAGTAAGATTGTTTTGTTTTTGACAATCGTGTTCTCGCTCAAAGCCAGTAAAAACGCAAGTATCTCCCAGCCTAACCCGCGGCCTGCTGTTGGCGCTGCATCCTCGGCCCATGGTGGAGCGTCGAGCGTCGAGTCATCCGAGATGTCACTTGTTGACACGGACACAAAGGCTGCACTTCTTTCTGAGCTTCGTGACGAGATTTCAGACATGGTTTAAAAAGGAGTTGCACGCCGCACTCGAATGTAATCTCTCATCAATCAAGTCCCAAATACAAGCGCTAAAAACTGAACTTTCCGCCGATATCACCACCATGAGTCGGGAATTCACCGGGCTGAAAGGCAACGTTACGGAGATGGAGAAGTGTCTCTCAGTGTGCACGGATGATATTGTCCTATTTCAAGCCAAGGTGGAAACTATGTCAAAGGAGCTGATTAAACTAGAGAACAAGTGTGAAGATTTAGAGTCCGGGTCCCGTCGTAATAATTTACGCATTGTTGGTGTGCCAGAGGAAAACATCCTGTCTCCCACAGACGTGTCTGCGCTTCTGATGGAAGCTTTCGAACTTGAGAAAGAGCCACTTGTGGACAGAACTCATCGGACCGTGGCCCCCAAACCAAATCCCAATGAGCGTCCTCGGGCCATAGTAGCTAGGATGCACAATTACGCGGTCTGCGCCAAGATTCTTCAGAAAGCCAGGAAGCTGCAGCAGATAAAGATGCGCAACATGACCATGTCCGTGTTCCCCGACCACAACGCTAAGACGGCACTAGCCCGTGCGGCTTTCAATGAGGTTCGTCGCCTGCTGTGGGGGATCCAGGGAGTTCGGTTCGGCATCATCCACCTGGCCAAGTTACGCATCACATATGAAGGAGTGCAACACGACTTCGTCTCACCAGAGAAGGCTAAGGCATACGTTGTTTATTTGTTCTTGTGCCTTATATAATCAGAAATTACACTGTAACAGCGTCCCCGTTAGTCATGGTTGGTTTTGTAGTCGGGAGCGTGTCTGTTTTGTTTGCTCCATATGGGAGTTTTGCACTGCCGTCTCTATCGTTCGGGGATGGGGACGTCCGAGGTGCGGGAGGGAGTGGGGATGTGTGTTTAATGTTTTTTTTAATTTTATTTCGATGTTGTACTCTCGTTACTGTTTTGTGTGTGTGCATGAGTGCGCTTTTTTCCCCTTTTTTTCTTTCTATGGGGGTGGAAAAAAAAAAAACTTTTTATTTATTTACTATGGCAGCATGTTAAAGGCATGAATAGCCCCATAAAACGATCTAGAATATTTTCACATCTACGACGTCTGAAGAGTGATGTAATGTTTTTACAAGAAACAATTTTGACAACCCAGGTTTAGCAGATAAACTGTTTAGCAGCCTCCCTTCTCTTGACACACACCTTTTGATATTTGCTGGTGACCTAAACTGTGTTATTGACCCCGTCTTAGACTGCTCAAATCCCCATTCCCTGACACAATCTTCTATGTCTAAGTCTATTTCAGAGTTTATGTTCCGGAACGGGTTTTTAGATCCTTGGAGATTTTCTAATCCCACTACCAGAGCCTATTTTTTTTTTCTCAGGTACATCAATCTTTTTCACATATTGATTACTTTTTTGTGGATGGTTCCCTTATTCCAAAAGTATGGACCCTAAGTCTCCTGAGTATCATCCAATTGTCATCTCTGATCATGCACCACTTAGTGTTGATATCAAACTCACTGCCCAATCTTCTTTTTCCTTGCCCTGGAGGTTTAACTCTCTGCTGCTCTCTGATGAGACATTTGTTGCCTTTATCAAAACAAAAATTGACAAATATTTATTTTTTAATGATAGTGACACTGTCACAAGGTCATTGCTGTGGGAATCTCTTAAAGCATATTTGCGTGGGCAAATAATTTCCTTTTCTGTTCATTCTAATAAAGTCCGTAAAGCTAGAATTCAAAATTTGACAACACAAATTTCTGACATAGACAGACAAATTGTAATTAATCCAACTCCTGATTTGCATAAAAAACGACTTAATTTGCAAACCGAATTTGACTTGCTTTCTACAGTGGAAGCTGAGCGCCTCCTACTTCGCTCACGGGCAACTTATTACGAACATGGTGATAAGCCAGGTAGGCTCTTAGCACATCAGTTGAAGCGTCAAGCCTCTTCTATGTGACAGGGTGGACCAGGAAGTGGGAAGTTGGGGGGCGGAGCATAGCTTTTAAAAGCCAGAGGGAGCAAATCTGGGCCTTTCACTCCACCTGGGTGCAGAGGGCAACCGGCAGCCATCATACTTGAGCGGTTAAGCCTAATTTGTGTTTGGTGCAAACACAGACAAAGGTAAATGTATACTCTATGTCTGTCATAAAAGCAGTGTGGCAAATAACAACCATATCCTTTTACATCCAAGTAGTAGCTACAGTCATCAGTCATCACCTGCTGGCCTCTTCAACTAAGAGTTCTTTTTGGAATGCTAACAAAGTAATCTGGATGCTACTGAGTCACCACTGTTTTTTCCCCTTTTGTTAAGTTTTAGGCTGTGTATTAATTGTTTGGGCCTGTATAGGATTTTCGGACCGTGTCAATTTGAATTGACCTGGGGTACCTTTGCATGTTTTGTTTGGTTTTTATTTGGGCTTTTGTTTGGCCATGCCATTTTGATTTTGTTTCCTAAGTTGCATATTTATTATTATTTAAACTACTCCAGGTCAGAAAAGTATACGGTGGTCCTGTTTTGAATGCAGCCCATCGATTAACCGTATTTTTAAGATTTCAGAACATCGAATAATGATGATTTTATATTTTTGTAAATAAACATTGGACTACTATTACGTCTCTTTATATTCTATTTTACACTTGGTCACATCTAGATTAATATCCCAAATTAGGGACACGGCTGGCAATTTGGTCTCTGACTCAAAGGAAGTGAACAAAGTGTTTAAACGGTATTATTCCTCTTTATATGAATCTGAATCCATTGTCATGGCTGAACAATTAGATGCACCCCTTAAATTAGATGAAATTGAACACGCAATTAAAACTATGCACAATGGTAAGGCTCCGGGTCCGGATGGTTTCTCGGTTGAGTTCTTTAAAACCTTTCCTGACAAATTAGCCCCGTTACTTCTTTCAATGTATAATGAATCTTTGGAATGTGGGTCATTACCCCCAACATTGCCTCAAGCACTGATCACCGTTCTTCTAAAGAAAGATAAAGACCCTACATCTTGCTCCTCATATAGGCCTATTTCACTTCTTAATGTGGACGTTAAAGTCTTGGCTAAAATTCTAGCATATCACCTTGAGAAGATTCTTCCTTCTATTATTTCAGAAGAACAGAATGGTTTCATTAAAGGTCGGCGGTTATTTTTTAATATCCGTACACTTTTGAATGTGATTCTATCCCAACACTCTACTACTAGTCCAGAAGTAGCTATCTCGCTTGATGCTGAGAAAGCTTTTGATCGTGTGGAGTGGAGTTATCTTTTTGCTGTCTTATATAAGTTTGGTTATAGGGACCGATTTATTTCATGGATTCGATTGTTATACAATTCACCCCAAGCCAGTGTTTACACAAATAATGTTTCCTCTGGTTACTTTCCACTGTCACGAGGTACGAGACAGGGGTGCCCTTTGTCCCCTCTACTTTTCGCCATTGTAATTGAGCCTCTATCAATAGCTTTGCGGTCTCTCCCTTATTTTTGTGGCATTTCCCGATCAGGTCTTGACCTGAAACTGTCTTTATATGTATGTTTCTGATCCTTTACGTAGTATACCCCCAATTGTGTCTTTGTTAAAGAAATTTGGCTCCTTTTCCGGCTACAAAATAAACCTTCTTAAGAGTGAATGCTTTCCCAAAAATTCGTTAGGTCTTACACTTAAACAGTCTGATATTCCTTTTAGGCTTAACCCGTAAGGATTTAAGTATTTGGGAATTAATGTAACTCGTACTTGTCCTCTTTGTATTCCTCTAATTTCACCCCTTTGATTTCTCAGATTAAATCAGATTTTCAGAGATGGAATTGTCTGCCTTTGTCGCTAATCGGTCGAATGAATACAATCAAGATGAATATTCTACCTCGATTACTCTTTCTTTTCCAGTGTACTCCTGTATTTTTGCCTAAAGCTTTTTTTAAAAAGTTGGACCAGATCGTCACATCGTTCTTGTGGGGAGGGAAACACCCCAGGGTGAGGAAATCACTAACATTTGATGGTGGTCTTGCTTTGCCTAATTTTTTGTTTTATTATTGGTCTGCTCATATTCACAAACTGACCTACTGGCTTCAATCACAAGAACTTTTGTGGTGCAAGTTAGAACACCTGTCCTGCATCTCCTCTTCTTTGGATGCTTTACTGTCCTCTCCTCTCCCACTGAATTTCTCTCGATTCACAAAGAACCCTGGGGTGCAATTGAGTCTTAA